ACATTGAGGATGGGGCTTTTTTCTGTTGCTCTATAGACTACAACACAAAAATGGGTTCAAATTGTAGAAAAAGAGATTCCACCTAAACATTAGAAATAATTTTGTGATGGTAAGCACTGTTCTGTGGTGGACTCTGCTGCCTCTGATTGTGGTGGTGTCTCCTTCTCTGGAGATTTTTAAGCAGAGGCTGAGTGGCCATCCGTCGAGAATGCTTTGATTCTGTGATTGGATGCAACTCTTCATATGACCAGCAGTTCTCCTCACCCCTCTCTTCCCCCTCTTCCTTGTCCTACCCTTCACAGCAATAATAGCAACAACAAAAGGTATATCTATAAGAGTTGATGTTTTTGCCTGGAAAGCTGCAGAGCAGGTGTGAATCAATAGAGAGCAGGCCAGCATGCATTTCCAAGGTAGGCTTTATATTGAGAGGCATGTAGTATTAAATCCCCTTAAAAAGAAGATGGGTTTTCTAATAGTTTTCCAGTAGTTATCCAACAATGATGAAGTCAAATCTATCTAGTAGAATCCATACAGCAATCTAATACAAGGTTACTTTTTCTTAATAACTTTCTAATGCCTGTAAAATCTCCTTAAATAACGTATTCCGCCATTATATGTCAACCTATGCAAGTTTTGCAAATTTACACATAACCTGATATAGAACATTTCTAGATTTTGTGACACCTACTGCATATTGCTCCAGCAAAGGATCACCGCCTTGTCGGGGCGCTGGAGCTTGAGCACCTCAATGATGTCATGAGCGAAACCGTGAAGGGACACCCAAGACGGACGGTTGTGGCAGAGAGGTCAGACCAAGCGTGATCCCTGGGGAAGGCAATGGCAAACCACTCCAGTATCCTTGCCAAGAAAACTAAATGGACCAGTACAACCAGAGATATGTCGGTATGCCATTGGAAGATGGGACTCCCAGGTCGGAAGATGGCCAAAATGCTACTGGGGAGGAGCACAGGATAAGTTCAACTAGCCCCAGATGTGATGACGCAGCTAGCTCAAAGCCGAAAGGAAGGCTAGCGGCCGACGGTACTGGAGGTGAACGACGAATCCGATGCTCTAAAGATCAACACACCATAGGAACCTGGAATGTAAGATCTATGAGCCAGGGCAAATTGGATGTTGTTATTGGTGAGATGTCAAGACTAAGATAGACATTCTGGGGGTCAGCGAACTGAAATGGACTGGAATGGGCCACTTCACATCAGATGACCACCAGATCTACTACTGCGGACAAGAGGAACATCGAAGAAATGGAGTAGCCTTCATAATTAATAAGAAATTTGCTAAAGCGGTGCTTGGATACAACCCAAAAAATGACAGAATGATCTCAATTCGAGTGCAAGGAAAGCCTTTCAACATTACAGTGATCCAAATATACGCCCCAACCAACCAGACAGAATGATCTCAATTTGAGTGCAAGGAAAGCCTTTCAACATTACAGTGATCCAAATATACGCCCAACCACAGCTGCTGAAGAAGCAGAAGTAGATCAGTTCTATGAGGATCTGCAGGACCTACTGGATAATACACCAAAAAGAGACATTATTTTCATTACAGGAGACTGGAATGCCAAGGTGGGAAGTCAAATGACAACTGGGATCACAGGCAAGCATGGTCTGGGAGAACAAAATGAAGCGGGACGCAGGCTGATAGAATTTTGCCAGGAAAACTCGTTGTGTATAACGAATACTCTCTTCCAACAACCTAAAAGACGGCTTTACACATGGACCTCACCAGACGGTCAACACCGAAATCAGATTGACTACATCCTTTGCAGCCAAAGGTGGCGGACATCCATCCAGTCGGTGAAAACAAGACCTGGGGCTGACTGTAGCTCAGATCACGAACTTCTTATTGCTCAATTTAGAATAAACTAAAGAGATCAGGGAAAACACACAGACCAGTTAGATATGATCTCACTAACATTCCTAGCGAATATACAGTGGAAGTGAAGAACAGATTTGAAGGACTAGATTTAGTAAACAGAGTCCCAGAAGAACTAAGGACAGAAGTCCGCGACATTGTTCAGGAGGCGGCAACAAAGTACGTTCCCAAAGAAAAAGAAAACCAAGAAGGCAAAATGGTTGTCTGCTGAGACACTGGAAGTAGCCCAAGAAAGGAGGAAAGCAAAAGGAAACAGGGATAAGGGGAGATATGCCCAGTTAAATGCGCAATTCCAGAGGTTAGCCAGAAGAGATAAGGAACTATTTTTAAATAAGCAATGCATGGAAGTGGAAGAAGACAACAGAATAGGAAGGACAAGAGACCTCTTCCAGAAAATTAGAAACCTTGGAGGTAAATTTCAGGCAAAAATTGGTATGATAAGAAACAAAGATGGCAGGGACCTAACAGAAGCTGAAGAGATCAAGAGAAGGTAGCAAGACTATACAGAAGATCTGTATAGGAAGGATAATAATATCAAGGATAGTTTTGACGGTGTGGTGAGCAAATTAGAACCAGACATCCTGAAGAGTGAGGTTGAATGGGCTATAAGAAGCATTGCTAACAACAAGGCAGCAGGAGACAATGCGATCCCAGCTGAACTATTTAAAATCTTGAAAGATGATGCTGTCAAGGTGATGCATGCCATATGCCAGCAAATATGGAAAACACAAGAATGGCCATCAGACTGGAAAAATCAACTTATATCCCCATACCAAAAAAGGGAAATGCTAAAGACTGCTCAAACTTCCGTACAGTGGCCCTTATTTCTCATGCTAGTAAGGTAATGCTCAAGATCCTGCAAGGAAGACTCCAGCAATACATGGAGCGAGAGTTGCCAGATGTTCAAGCTGGGTTTAGAAAAGGCAGAGGAACGAGAGACCAAATTGCCAATATCCGCTGGATAATGGAGAAAGGCAGGGAGTTTCAGAAAAACATCTACTTCTGCTTCATTGACTATTCTAAAGCCTTTGACTGTGTGGATCATAATAAATTGTGGCAAGTTCTTAGTGGGATGGGCATCCCAAGCCACCTTGTCTCTCTCCTGAGGAATCAGAACTGACCACGGAACAACAGACTGGTTCAAGATTGGGAAAGGCGTACGGCAAGGCTGCATCCTCTCACCCAACCTTTTTAACTTGTATGCAGAACACATCATGCGATGTGCGGGGCTGGATGAATGCAAAGCTGGGGTGAAAATTGCTGGAAGAAACATTAACAACCTCAGATATGCAGATGGCACCACTCTGATGGCCGAAAGCGAGGAGGAGCTGAGGAGCCTTCTAATCAAGGTGAAAGAAGAAAGCGCAAAAGCCGGGTTGCAGCTAAACGTCAAAAAAACCAAGATTATGGCAACAAGAATGATTGACAACTGGAAAATAGAGGGAGAAACCGTGGAGGCCGTGACAGACTTTGTATTTCTAGGTGCAAAGATTACTGCAGATGGAGACTGTAGCCAGGAAATCAGAAGACGCTTACTTCTTGGGAGGAGAGCAATGTCCAATCTCGATAAAATAGTAAAGAGTAGAGACATCAGACTGGCAACAAAGATCCGCCTAGTCAAAGCCATGGTATTCCCTGTAGTCACCTACGGATGTGAGAGATGGACCTTAGGGAAGGCTGAGCGAAGGAAGATCGATGCTTTTGAGCTGTGGTGTTGGAGGAAAGTTCTGAGAGTGCCTTGGACTGCGAGAAGATCCAACCAGTCCATCCTCCAGGAAATAAAGCCCGACTGCTCACTGGAGGGAAGGATATTAGAGACAAAGTTGAAGTACTTTGGCCACATCATGAGGACAGGAAAGCCTAGAGAAGACAATGATGCTGGGGAAAGTGGAAGGAAAAAGGAAGAGGGGCCGACAGAGAGGTCAAGAGGAAGTCCTTGAAGTGACTGGGTTGGCCTTGAAGGAGCTGTGGGTGGTGACGGCTGACAGGGCTCTTTGGCGTGGGCTGGTCCATGAAGTTACAAAGAGTCGGAAACGACTGAATGAATGAACAACAACAACAACAACAACATGATAATGAAATGGCAGGGAGAAGGTTTGATTACTAATCTATATAAATAAAAATGTAATGTTCGTTTGTGGTATTAACATAACTCAAAAACCACTGGACGAATTGACACCAAATTTGGACACAATACACCTAACAGGCCAACGAGTGACCATCACTCAAAAATTGATTTTGTCATTCGTGAGTTGTAGTTGCAGGGATTTATAGTTAACCTACAATCAAAGAGCATTCTGAACTCCACCAACGATGGAATAGAAGAACCAAACTTGGCACACAGAACTCCCATGACCAACAGAAAATACTGAAAGGGTTTGGTGGGCATTGACCTTGAGTTTTGGAGTTGTGGTTCACCTACATCCAGAGACAGGCTGATAGCCAGGATTTTGATTCGGGGAGGGGGGGTCTGAGTTTGATTCAAGGGAGCTGAGTCTGCGTGAAAGAGGGTGTACCCTAGCAAATCTTTTGTATCGTTACCCGAATACCCCCCTGCATATGGGATATATTGAGCATGGTGATCAGATCATGATATGAATTAACATACAGTTTAAATAATGTACCAGTAAGGCCTTTTTGCGGACCACCATGAGAATTTTGGGGGGGGGGTGCTGAAGCCCCTCAACCCCCCCCCCCCGGCTACATGCCTGTGGACTTAAACAATGATGGATCTGGACCAAACGTGGCACGAATACTCAACATCAGTGGTTCTCAACCTGTGGGTCCCCAGGTGTTTTGTCTTACAACTCCCAGAAATCGCAGCCAGTTTACCAGCTGTTAGGATTTCTGGGAGTTGAAGGCCAAAACATCTGGGGACCCCAGGTTAAGAACCACTGGTGTAGACTGTAGAATTAATGCAGTTAGGCACAATCTTAACTGCCTGTGGAATCATGGGAGTTGTAGTTTCACACCTCTGGACCCCACCAACGAGAGAATTGGGCCAACTTCCCAAAACCACCAACAGAAAATACTGTGTTTTCTGTGGTCTTTGGCGACCCTTCTGACACCCCCCTCACACCCCCCAGGAGACCCGACCCCCAGGTTGAGAAATGCTGCCTTAAGGCCATCCAGTCCAACTCCCTTCACCAGGACGAGAAAACATAATCAAAGCCCTCCTGAGAAAGAGCCATACAGCCATAGATATAGATAAATAGATATGATTCACACACAAACATATATATATGCCAGATATAGTATCATAGATTTCAAAGGGACCTCCAAAGAAGGACAATGATATGTTGCATGTTCCAGTGTAGGCAAACCAGACAATCTCTACATCAACAGTGACAAGAAATACTGTTTACCCACAAGCATAAAGAAATTACATATATTAGAAACCAACACTATTTTCCAGGTCACCAGACTGGACCACAGCAACACATGGCAGGGAGCAGCTAGTAGTCAAAATAAATTTAGCGTGGGTAGCTGTTAAGTGTGTTTTGAACCCTTTAGTAATGCTGTGGAGTCCTCTGCCCCGGTCTTTGATGCCCAAACTCACCATAGAGGCTAACATAAAAATAAAAGTAAATTAAAAGTATATGGAAACCTCAGTTCACGTCATTGCTACTTCCTCTGCCAGTATTGTTGGCATTACAACGCACATTTATTATGTATCCTGGTACTTCAAAAAATCTTATTTCTTACTAGCAAGTTTTTTTCATCTTGAAGAGGTGTTCACATTCTTCATTGGAGTCCTGAGAGCAATCCAGTCGGTTTTCAGGCTTCTGAATCAAAAGCAGTTGCTGCTGTCTATTGCTCTTGTATATCCTCAAAAACTACGTTTCGGGCTGAAAGATAGATATTGTCCCCTCCTTGCCACATGAATGATACATTGATATTGATGGAGTTTTGCGTGTTTTCTTGAGCTTTGTGAGCAGAACAACATTGAAGCTGCTTAACTTCATCCCGGAATGTTTTGCTGAAAGTGTAGTATATGAAAGGATTGTAGGCTGTTGATGACTTAGCAAACAGGCAAGGTAATAACGTAACAATGTAAGGGATTGATTCACTGGAGTGAAATATTGACCAGAAGCTGACTGTAGCATATGGGATCCATGCTCCCAGGAAGCCTACACTGATCAACACAGCCATCTGTAGGGAGAAAATACCACAACATTGAATGATTAGTCATTGGTTCTTAATTTTTCTTCATATATTTAAGTGTTTTAAATGATTAGCCCTTGCAGTTCTTATTTGATGTTGCAGATGAAGTTAACCGAAAGTTCAAAAGGTATCTGACCCTCTTTAGTAGTATAGAATAATATAATAGTAGTATAGAATAATATAACAGTATTGTCGAAGGCTTTCATGGCCGGAATCACTAAGTTCTTGTGGGTCTTTTCGGGCTATATGGCCATGTTCTAGAGGCATTTCTCCTGACGTTTCGCCTGCATCTATGGCAAGCATCCTCAGAGGTGAGGTCCTCACCTCTGAGGATGCTTGCCATAGATGCAGGGGAAACGTCAGGAGAAATGCCTCTAGAACATGGCCATATAGCCCGAAAAGACCCACAAGAACTTAATATAATAGTAGTATAGAATAATATAATAGTAGTATAGAATAATAGTAGCATAGAATAATATAATAGTAGTATAGAATAATTTAGTAGTATAGAATAATAATAATATATCTGAACCTCTTTAGTAGTATAGAATAATACAAAATAATTTTTGATCAGATGTTAAAAACAACTTTGTTATAAGATACCATGTTTCAGTGGAATATCCATTATTTCATGCCAAAGTCCTATAAAACTTGAAGTTATTTTGCCTAAAGTCTTTCATATCTTGCAAAAAAAAAAAAAAGGAGGTACACAAAGTATCCGCCTTGGGAAATTCATATCTTAAAGCAGAGCTTTCCAAATATTTCATAACGGTTACACAGTTTTAGACAGGCAAAATTTTGTAACATTGTACTGTATATTCTGGCATATAAGATGACTGGGTGTATAAGACGACCCCCAACTTTTCCAGTTAAAATATAGAGTTTGGTATATACTCGCCGTATAAGACTACCCCTCTTCCAACACACCAAATAAAAAAAATTACTTCTTATTTTGCCTATATCTTGCAAAAAAAGGGGTGGTACACAAAGTATTTGCCTTGGAAAATTCATATCTTAAAGCAGAGCTTTCCAAATATTTCATAATGGTTACACAGTTTTAGACAGGCATCATTTTGCAACATAGTAATTCAGATTGACTAGCAAATCAGAGGTTAAAACAACACTTTATAAGAGATACAGACACATACTTAAACTGTAATAACGAAATGTATGGGGATAAAACAACCTGAAGGTGGTGCTCAAGATATTCAAGCTAAATCAAATGAATTAAATTACCTATATGTACTCGAGTATAAGCCAGCCTGAATATAAGCCGAGGCAGCTAATTTTACCACAAAAAACTGGGAAAACATATTGACTCTATTATAAGCTGAGGGTGGGAAATGCAGCTGGTAAATTTCAAAATAAAAATAGATACCAAAAAAAAGTACATTAATAGAGGAATCAATAGGTTAAATGTTTTTTAATATTTCCATAAAACTGTAATTTAAGATAAGACTGTTCAACTCTGATTAAACCATTATTCTAACCTTCTTCAATGTAAATGTGGTTACGTATCCTTCCAATAATAATAGAGTAAAATAATAAATGAAATAAACATAATAATAATAGAATAAATAATGGAAATGTAATAATAACAGTAATAATAGAGTAAAATAGTAAATGTAATAATAACGTAAAATATAAAAGTGATAACAATAAAAAGAGTAAAATAATGTAAATGTAGAAATAATAATAATAATAATAATAATAATAATAATAATAATAATAATAACAATAATCTTTATTTATACCCCGCCACCATCTTCCCGATGGGGACTCGGGGCAGCTTACATGAGGCCAAGCCCAAACAACAAGTTACAGCAGAATAATACTGAAAACGCAAACATAGACAATAAACAACAACATCATAATTACATAAAACATGTGAATACATGACGATATAAAATTACAATAAACACAATCACAATGACAATGACAACAATAAGAGTAAAATAATAAATGGAATAATAATAATAAATGGAATAAAATTATAAATATAATAATAACAATAATAATAGAGTAAAATAATGTAATAATAGAGTAAAATAATAAATGTAAAATAATAATAGAGTAAAATAATAAATATAATAGAGTAAAATAATAAATGTAATAATAACAACAGAGTAAAATAATAAATAACTTTGACTCAAGTATAAGCTTGGGCGGGGGGGGGGGGCTTTTTCAGTCTAAAAAGGGGCTGAAAAAATCTGCTTATACTGGGAGGGGCTCCTAATCGGCACCTTTGCCATATGAAAGTACATGCAAATTGATGTTGCTTGTTTCACACAGTTTCAGGAATTTCTCATTATGTTTGCGAAGCACACTTATACACTACAGGTGACACACTACTGTGTCAAAATTTATTTATTTAATTTAAAACTTTTGTATCCCGATCTTCTCTATCTCTGTAGAGGGGCTCAGACCGGCTGACAGCAAAAATTCAATGCTAACACTAAAATCTAAAATATCATACATCAACATTAAAATTAACCAATACATATAGGATAAATTACATAACTCATTCGCCAAGATAAAATCATGTCAACTCAAGGTTAGGAAAGCTTCGCCTTAAAGAATTCTTGCCTGTGTGGTAGAAGTAATATGCAACTCAAGAGTATCCAACTCGTACATGAAAGCATGCACAGTCAATCCAATATATCACTTCCATATGTACACTGAAACTTTACTCAACATTTTGAATGAGCAGCTGTCACGCTGTGCATATAAGGTAAATGTCTGAGTTTACACATCACATTCACTCACTCTGTCTTATCCATAAACTTACCAGTGTCATCTTCTTCTCCAACTTTGCTGAACTTGAAATTCTGTTTAAGCTTTGTATTTCTTGGTAAGCTTTATGAATTTTCCAGGCGATTCCCAAGTAACACATGATTATGGTTATTGCTGGCAGGATAGTGCAGAGAATGAACATGCTCAGAATGAAGGAAAATCCATTTTGCGAGTTATGAAACTGGCCCCATGCTATAGTACAAGATGTGCCGAATGGTTCTGGGCCATAACGCCCCCAGCCCAATAAAGGCAGAATGGCCCAAAGTACTGCATATGCCCAAATCAGCATAATACAAATATGCATCACTTTCCTGTTAATTTTATGCCCTATGGAGAAGAGGAAAGCAAAGTCAACAAATATTATAAAACAGCAGCATTGCAATCATATAAGAAATTGTACTAAATTACACTGATGTTCATTTATCTCCTCTCAATACCGTCTTTGCAGACTCTAGAAGCTAGTACCAGTTTCAGTTGACTTGAAGATGTGAATATTTTGACAAAATAGAAAATTATAGCTGGACTTAGTAGCCAGACTTTCTTCGAGTCACAACATCTTGCATCATAAAAAGCAAAATAACTTTAAAATTAGATTTCATACACTAGAGATCCTCCTTAATCCTTCAATTCCAAATATGGTGATGGGAGGATCCTCCTCAACTGTGGCCCTGGCCAAGCATGCACAGAAGGATCTGCCTGGTGCTACCACCCTGCAGGATGAGTTTAAGTGACCAAGAAGGGATTGAACTCCTTTGAGGATTATCTTTTTTTTCTCCTGTAACCCATTGGATCTTACATCTCCAACCGCCAAGTTTTTTCTCGGTTTGGCAGGAGACTCTGGTCACTGAATCCAAAAGTGTGGCCAAGTATACTAAGGAAGTATCTCCCATCTTCACCATAACTGGTGAAATTCCAAATTCCCATGCTAAGGTCTGGAAGGACTTCAGCATCCTAACAAATTGCCCACCCTCCTTATCTTCCATAAATAGGAAGTCATTCAGATAGTGTGCTACAGATCAGAAGTCTACAGATGCAGTTGCAGCCCATTCCAGAAAAGAAATTAAGGTTCCAAATGCAGAACAACTAATTCAGCAGCCCATTGACATTGCCATGTCATAATACTATTGTCTCTGGAGCATAAAGCCCAATAAGCAATGGTAAACCAGGTGGACCAGTAAATGCCAGAAAGCTTGTTGAATGGCACACTTGGCCATAAGGGCCCCAGATGTGCATTACTTGACTAGCTGTACTGCTGTATTAAAGGAACTGAGCAGAATTCTGCAGGAATTGACATATGCCCCCTGGGTGTAGGAGAAGTGGTAGATAAGCCTGGACTCTCCTAATTTTTTTGTTGTTTTTTGCTCCATCCCCAGAGGATATTTATAAGTGGAGTGTTCTCAACCCTGGCTGCACAATTTCTTGGAAATGTTTCCATGCCAAATAGATAGGCCGCCTGGGGGACCAAAGGCCGAAATCTTCCTCAAGTCTCCTTCTGATATAATCTGCTGCCCCCTGAGAGGGTACTTCTCAAGCCATGGCAGCATGGCTTTGGGGGTTAACTACTGTGTGGGCTAAACCGCTAAACCACTCCACCCCCACCCACCCCACAGGTCCAGGGATTATTATTTTTTTGGTCGTGTCAGGAGCGACTTGAGAGACTGCAAGTCGCTTCTGGTGTGAGAGAATTGGCCGTCTGCAAGGACGTTGCCCAGGGGACGCCCGGATGATTTGATGTTTTTATTATCCTTGTGGGAGGCTTCTCTCATGTCCCCTCATGAAGAGCTGGAGCTGATAGAGGGAGCTCATCCACCTCTCTCCGGATTCGAACCTGCGACCTGTCGGTCTTCAGTCCTACCGGCACAGGGGTTTAACCCACTGCGCCACCGGGGCTCCTAGGTCCAGGGATACATACCAGTGATTGTGCTGCTTTTTCCTCCAGAGCTGGATTCCCCATCTCTCTTTCCCAAGTGGGCCTGTCTAGTGCTATTGTCATGAAAAGAGTGCTACCCCTGTTGAAACAGGCCAAATTAACGTGGTCCCCTTTCTGGGGGAGTCAATGTATTTCAAGCATTTGCAGTCTCTGGGACATTATTGTGTATTCATATTTGTTGACAGATTAGGGAAATAATGGATAATGTCTCTGTAGACTGAAGTGGCTCTATTGGTGATGCTGTTACTTTGTCCCAGGAGGAGTGAACTTCTGACCAGAGAGTTTCAGCTTTTGACACTATCTTGTTTTCATGGTTAAAAAAATCTTCAAAACTGTGCCTCCTTCTGCCCAGGACTTGGCTATGGTGCCGCTTCTTTTTTCACTGAGCTCCCTCTCCACTGCTGCTGGTGACCATTAGCTGTTTGGCACATTTAGTCTGGCTCCTCTGCAAAAGGCTGTCTGATGTATGAGATCCTACTAGCAGCACACAATCACACCAGCACAGTGTGTCATTGGTGGTTATCCTTGAATTGCAGTCAGAAAATTATAGAATCCAAGTTGGAAAAGACCACAAGGGACAACTAGTCCAACCCCCCTGTCATGCATGGACACACAAGCAAAGTAACCCATATATAGATGGCCATCCAGCCTCTTCTTAAAACCCTCCAGAGAAGTAAACTCCACCAGACTCTGAGGCAGCATCTTCCAATGACAGACAGTTCTTACCATCAGGATGTTCTTCCTAATGTTTAAGTGGAATCCTTTTTCCTGCAATTGGACTCAATTCTTCCATGTCCTACTCTCTATGAAGCATCCTTCCAAATATGTAAACATGGCTATCATGTCCCCTCTCAGCTTTCTTTTTATCCAACCTAAAGATACCCAGCTCCCTCAGCTATTCCTCATAGGGCATGGTTTCCAAACCTTTGATCATTTTTGATCATCCTTCTATGGACACATTCTACCTTATATACTTCTTGAATTGTGGTGCCCAGAATTTGACACAGTATTCCAGATGAGGTCCTACCAAAACAAAATAGAGTGAGCCTATATCTGTGTGTTTCATTTCTACTGCCTGAGTGTAATACCATACATTTCTTCCTGTTGAAATTCATTTTGTTAATTTTGGTCCAGCTCTCTAACCTGTTATGGTCATTTTGGATTCTGGGGTATTAGCTATCCCTCCCAATTTGGTGTCATCTGCAAATTTGATAAGCATGCTTTCTATCCCATCATCCAAGTCACTGACTGGGCTCAGGACAGAACCCTGTGGCACCTCACTGGTCACTTTTCTCCAGGATGAGGAAGAGACATTGGGAAGCACCCTTTGTGTTTGGCCAGTCAACCCAATTCCCAGTTTGGCTAGTCAACCCAATTGTGTTTGGTCAGTCAACCCTATGCCTAGCTCGCATTTTATTAGCTTCTCTAAAAGAATGCCATGGGGAGCCTTGTCAAAGGAATTACTTAAATCAAAATATGCTACATCTACAGGACTAACAAACATTGCTTAGAAAAGTACAGTTAATGAATAAAATAATCTGTATAAAATATTCACAAACTATTTTTCTGAAATCTAGGTATATGTGCAATAAATTAATAAGCTGCCTTACTGCATCATTCCTAGTGCGACTTTGTAGATTGGATTGCATATTCAGATACAAGAGGTGGATAGGCAATGCAAAGTGAATAGATGCTTTTCAAACACTCTGCTACATAATGTGCAAATTCTCTATTTGAGTTGCCTATATTCATTTTCCCTTAACCTTTGCTATATTTTAGGTTACAGTTCATTCAGTGAAGAACAGCTGCATCCAGGCCTGTAGCCAGGATTTTGTTTCGGGGGGAGCTGAGTTTGATTCGGGGGGGGGGGGGGGCTGAGTCTGAGTGAAAGAGGGTCTACCCTAGCAAACCTTTTGTATCGTTACCCCGATACCCCCATGCGTATGGGATATATTGAGCATGGTGATCAGATCATGATATGAATAAACATAACAGTTTAAATAATGTACTAGTAAGGCCTTCTCGCGGACCACCATGAGAATTGGGGGGGGGGGCTGAAGACCCCAAGGCCCCCCCTGGCTACATGCCTGGCTGCATCTACAATTATTTCTACATCTGCTCCTATTGTTAGCTGCAATATGCTGAATGGAAATAATGTCTCCCTGATTACCTCCTTTCAAAAGTTTGTTTTAGAATAGAAGACGTTGGACAAGGTCTGAAACTTTTCAGTTGTTGCATCTTTGCTTACTTACTCTTAGGTTTTGATGAAAAAGTTACAAGGAAACGGATTATAGCCATTGCAGACAAAGTCATTATGCTGGAGACACCAAAAAGGAAGCCCATCAGAGCATAGTAAATGCAGGTTGCCTCCCCTCCTAGCCAAGCGTGGTTCCAGGCAGAAGCAATGGCCAGCGGATACATGCTGAGTCCCATTCCAAGATCTGTGGCTGCTAAATTGACTGTGAGGAGCTCAGGTGACCTGAGGCACGAGGACCGCTTCATAGCTACTGCTAGAACAACTGAATTCCCCAGAATAGTCAAGATTGCTGGAAGAAGAAAAAGAGTAGCATGGTTTAGAAGTAATAACGTTAACAATTCACTGTAGTACACTTGGACCTTTTCTCATAGTCCTTGACCTTGTTCCTTTTGCTGGCTGGCGCGTAGGGCACCTCGTGGCACCCTGTGCGCCCTCCACCCTCACCACATGGTGGGGACAGGACAGGTCGCATTGGTGGAACAAGGCACATCAGATGGGTGAAAGGGCACAAAAATGCAGGTAGCTAGCTAGAGGATAGTCCATTGGGGGGGGGGAATGAAAGAGTTAAACCATTTCCCCCGTTTTCCATTTATTTCCCCCCACCCCTGACCCTGTCATGGAAACAACCCTTGTTTATGACATCGGAAGAGGGGGGGGGGTAAATAACCAGCAAAACGGGGAAATGGTTTTCCTCTTTTAACTCCCGCCCCATAAAATGTACAATCCTTCTCTCTCTAGCGCCCCTAGTGGCCGCCGCCTGGATATTGGTACTTTTTTTCTTTGTCATGTCAGGAGAGACTTGAGAAACTGCAGGTCACTTCTGGTGTGAGAGAATTGGCCGTCTGCAAGGACGTTGCCCAGGGGATGCATGGATGTTTTTATCATCCTTGTGGGAGGGTTCTCTCATTTCCCTGCATGAGGAGCTGGAGCTGATAGAGGGAGCTCATCCGCATCTCCCTGGATTCGAACCTGCGACCTATCGGTCTTCAGTCCTGCCGGCACAGGGGTTTAACCCACTGCGCCACCGGGGGCCCCGATATTGGTACTGGAACAGTACCAACAATTGCATTGTGTATAATTCACAGTTCTCTAATGTACATATGTTTATTTACAAGCAGGATTATATCACAACCATTTGTTGATTGTGAATATAAGTGTTTTTGTACATAGCAATATCATGAGAAGGCCCATATTTCAAAATTGTACAATTTTGTTGTACTGTACTACTTTTCCAAACTGCATATCACAAAACATATCTCTTTTTCTTTATAAAAAAAGCAGAAATTTACTGAGACTTCCACATCATGTGCAGTTTTTGGTAAAGCATAACATTTTGCAATTTGAATATGCATCTTAAAAATGTCCCAGTTACTCTGATAAATGAGCTAACTAATAAACATAGCACACACTCAACCCATACTTTATAAGTAATATAATGTTACAGTTAAACAGTACAGTCTATTTTAGATCCCGAATTAGGGACAGTTTAGTAACTGCTGACCTTGCAACAGCTTTACTCATCTCTGTGCAGCCATAGAGGACCCCAAACGTAGAACTTACCAATAATCAGAAGAAACACACCCATTCCATAATCCCATATTGGGGGAACTTTGGAGATGTAGTGCTCCTCCATGACCCCTTATGGAAGGGAAGCCAATACTGAGATAATTCTCTGTAATTAAAAGCAACCACTTCAGCTTTTAAGTTGCAGAGGCAACAGTTCTGGAGAAGACGGATCCTGGAGAACTGGTCTTTCTTAGTTCTGGAGGGCTGAAGGAGTTTAGAGCTGGATGATATAGTCTATGTCTGGAAGACAGGCAGAATGAAAATCTGGCATTGCCAGAGACTCACTGTTTTATAAGATCTCACTCTAGCCTCCACCCTCTCCTGTAACGCCATCCTCTTTTCCCCGTGCTTTGCTTAACATCTCTTATTTCTCTCTCTTAGAACATGTAGAAAACTCCTACTGGATCATGACTAATTTAATATTGGATGGTTATTAAGGAGAACGGAATTCAAATCTTCACTCAGCCATGAAGCTCACATGGTAACCATGGCCCAGTCCCTGTCTCCGAATCTAACTTACCTCAGAGGAGGTAGATAGTATAGAAAGGATAAAAAGGAGATAGTGTTATACTGTCTTGAATTCTTTGAATGAAGAGTTGTGATAAAATATAATAAGAAAAATATAATATAACCCTTCTCCCTCATTTCAATGAGATGTTGCTCACAAAATAAATAGTTGACCACAAAAATTCATTCAGTATGACCCATTTCGTTCTGATATGGACCCTTGGTATCCTCTGGAGTATGGTTCCAGGACCCTCATGGATACCAAAAAATGAGGATACTCAGGTTCCATTATTTACTTACTTACTTAGGCGATCCCTTGTTGGCTGAGTAGGATAGTCTTCCAGGATCAGTGTTCTGGTGGGTCCGTAGGTGACTGTGGAGCCCTATTCAGAAAGTCCACTTAACAACCAGGGAGCTTGCAGACAGCATCAAAATGCGGGTCGAATAAGTGGGGCAAAAGATCATAGGACCTGACAGCAAATTCAAACACAGACCTGTCAGTCCTGGTATATGCTCCCCTGACACCTTCGTTTGTAGAGGATTTTTAGAAATCCACAAGATGGACAGAGGGCATCCAGCGGAAGTTTACTCTTTTTAAACCTGACTCCATTATGCATTCACGTGGGTATTTAAATGTACACACAAGCAGATTTTGTTATTATTTCTCCTCACCCTACTGTAAATTCAAGCTCTGCTTAATTTCATAAAGATCAGAACAAAGGAATGGTTTCAAAGAGTTCTCATTGAAATTGCTTGCCATTTCTGCTTCCATTTAGCCACCTGTGTCTCCATGGTTCCATTTGTTTACAGCCAAGATCAACTGTTTCGGGATTTTAAAATGTGCACATGTGCTAGAACAATCCACATCAGGGTATATGAATGGAAGCACGTGTTTTCCTTGATTGCTGGGATGTACAGTCATGAGAATATGCACATTTTTGGCCAAAATTGGGTTTTAAGCACGCTTTTTAAAGTTGTTTTTCAGTTGTTAATCTAAATCAGCGTGCTTTGTTATTTATTTGTTCAGTCACTTCCAACTCGTTGTGACCTCATGGACCAGCCCATGCCAGAGCTCCCTGTTGGCCGTCACCACCCCTAGCTCCTTCAAGATCAAGCCATTCACTTCAAGGATACCATCCATCCATCCATCCTGTCCTTGGTCGGCCCTTCTTCCTTTTTCCTTCCATTTTCCCTAGCATCATTGTCTTCTCCAAGCTTTCCTCTCTTCTCATGTGGCCAAAGTACTTCATCATTGCCTCTAATATCCTTCCCTCCAGTGAGCAGTTGGGCATTCTTTCCTGGAGTATGGCCTGGTTGGATCGTCTTGTGGTCCAAGGCACTCTGAGAATTTTCCTCCAACACCACAGTTCAAATGTGTCTATCTTCCTTTACTCAGCCTTCTTTATGGTCCATAATCAGTGTGCATTTTTGCTAAATGTCATTTAGCCACCCCTGCTTTTATCCGGGTTTCTTCCATGTCTTAGGTCATGTGTAGAAGGTCCTTGAGAGTACTACAAAGCCAGTTCAGGAGCAAGAACCAACAGTTGTCAGGTAGTTGTAAGTTTTTTGGACTGTATGGTCAGGTTCCAGAAGCATTGTCTCCTGACATTTTGCCTGCATCTATGGCAGGCATCCTCAGAGATTTGTTCAGAGGCCTGTTGGAAACTAGGAAAATGGGGTTTATATATCTGTAGAATGTTAGGGTGGGAGAAAGAACTCTTGTCTGTTGGAGGTAGGTGTGAATGTTTCAATTGTCAGTTTTGCAGTCCAAAAGTCAGGTGCCAAGAGTTCACTTAAAATAGATCAGGGGGACCTCTGACAAGCATGAAAGTCTGCATTTACATCCAAACGATACCTCTGTAGGGTAGGTTAAATTAGAAGAGAACACTTGACTCATGACCTTTATGAAGAAAGTAAAATTTGAACCTTATAGTTCCATCCCATCAATCTGTAGAATCCTGTAGTTCTCCTGCCCCTAACAATACAACCCTAAATATCAACTTAATCACACTAGAGAAAAAATCCACTTAAAATCCAGTTTCTGCCTCCTGCAGAATTCTGGGGTTAGTAGTTTAGTGAGGCTGTTAAAGGCTCCTCTCTGAACTACAAACCCCAGAATTCTGCAGGAGGCAGAAACCAGATTTTAAGTGGCTTTTTCTCTCTAGTGTGATGAGGCCCATGTCTACTCAGAAATAAGTACTGCAAATCCCAGAATCCTAAATTTATAATTTTGGTAAAGAATAACACACCTCCAGGAGCAGAAACCCAGGTTGGCTTACTCACAAGTAACTGTCATTAAATTCATTGGATTTGGTTCACCTGCTGAGTCTGCTGGACAAACCACAGGTCTAAGGTAGTGATGTGGAAATGCATTTTTGGAGCCCAGGATTCTGGGGGAGATGAATTCCTACTGAAAGCCATAATACTTTGGTCCCAGTCTTCTATGCTTCTCCTCTATCTGTGACCAGGATGGTGGTGATGGGGTTGCAACCTCACATTCCACTGTAGTGTGGAAGAGGAGGCAGAGGGGGAAAGAGGAAGGAGGAAAAGAAAGAGGAGGAGGACTGTTTTTAAAAACAAAATAACGGAATCAATGTGGAGTCAGTCTTCCAGTGCTGCAGAATTTGAAGAGGCACAAATGGAAGGCGAAAGAGAGAAACGAGCCAAGAGGAAGGTGCATCAAGCCAACCCCAACCAGGACCGCCTTCCACCTAGAAACCAATGCCCTCACTGTGGGAGATGATGCAGATCAAGATTAGGACTCCATAGTCACCTATGGACCCAACCTGGAGGATTATCCTACTCGGACAACGAGGGATCGCCTAAGTAAGTAAGAAGACGTCTTCTTTGACTAAATACGTTTTGTTTGAGAGTACCTAACTGTCTTAAAACAAGGATAGCCTGTGTTTAGTCATTTTTTTTTTTGTTGGAGCGCAAGACTATCAATCCTAAGTATAAATAATTAACTGTTTAGTTACAGGGATTTCCACCCATAAATCCGTGGAATGTTTAATCACAATCACCTAGGGATCGATTGGGCTTTCTACTCTCAAGCGAATCCCATTAAATGCAATGGGACATGTACCCAGACACGTATGGACAGCCCGGAAAACTCACAGCAACACTGTGATTCCGCCCATGAAAGCCTTTGACAACACACATGAACAAGATGTTTATATATAGAAGTAGAATGAGTAGAAACCCCTACCATTTGCTGCACAACCTAATTATCTGTCTGAAATGGCTTGAGGCACTGTTTATGTAAAGTATTTAAGCAGTGCAAACACTTTGCACATCAAATTTTAAATTGAAGTCTCCATAAACGAAGAACCTGAAAAATCTCCCATCTGGGGCCCCTTTCTTCACTGCCAGATATCATCCAAATTATCTGCTTTGATAATCTGGATTCTATGATAGAAGTGGCCTGGGGCAAACGGGCTATTTTAGGTTTAGGAGAGACTTGAGGAGAGACACTGACAAACAAAGATTCCTGTGTTATGAGAATAACATTGAATGTTCATCACATGCCTAATAGCAGCATTATGTGTAGCATGCTGACCCAAACCAGCAAGCATCAGTACATGCCTGGTCTAAATTCTTATCACACAGTATTTTTATGGCTGTACCAGTCAAAAATCATTAGGACATTGTGATAAGGTGATTAAAGGCAGCTGCAATGCTGATCCCAGGGCAGGACACAAAGTCAAGGGGGAGAAGATGCCCAAGATGCTAGCTCAGATCCCTTCTACACTGCCATATAAAATCCGTATTATCTGCTTCGAACTGGATTATTTGGCAGTGTAGATTGTTGTTGTTGTTGGAGGTGGTGATGGCAGTGGTGTTGTTACTATTATTCCAATACATAGTGATCTTGTTTGTTGTTTACTAAACATGTTATGTAAATAATAATAATAATAATAATAATAATAATAATAATAATAATAAAAGGCCACCTTACTTGGATCTGTGCACGTCATTTGAAAATACATCACACAGTTCTAGACACTTGGGAAGTATTCAACTTGTGATTTTGTGATACAAAATCCATCATATATCTCTCATTTGCTGTGACATACTGCGTTTTTGTGTCAGTAAAACAATAACAACAACAACAACAACAACAACAACAACAATTCTTTATTTATAACCCGCCCTATCTCACCGAGGGGATTCAGGGCAGTTTTTAACAAAATCAAACAGTGGCAAACATTCGATGCCAAAACCAACAAGTAACAAATCAAACAGTGGGTAAGACAATCTCAATAAAAATTATAAAAATCAAAACATTAAACAACAAACATAATGCATCACAAACATTTACATCATGATAAGGTCTTTAAAACTCTTTAAAAATTAGATTAAAAAATATTGAAACTAAGATGGTATAAAACTTCTAAGGAGCAAAGGAAGGTATCCAGCAATTAGGCGAAGGTATATATGAAGTGTATTAATTCTCCTCCTCTCTGTAAACTAAAGGAGAGGAGGGGGGGCATGTTTAGTTCTTTAGGGAGGGAGTTCCAGAGGTGGGGAGAGATCACGGAGAAGGCCCCCTCTCTCATTCCCACCAACTGCGCTTTAGCTGGAGTGGGA